TGGGACGCGGGGGAACCCGCTCGTGTTTCCTGCCCTGCGAGGAAGTGGGCTCGGCGGTGCGTTTGCTGCCGCGCTTCCTCTCCTCGGGACAAGAGAAGGGCAGGCACTTTGAAGTATTATTAAATAAAGACATGAAACCGCTGGCGAGGGTCCTCCTTCTCCCGGTCGTCTTCTTCTTCTCTTTTTTTCTTCTTTTCTCCCCCCCCCCCAAAGTATTAAAGGCAGAGAAACGCTCCAGCCTGATCTGGGCCGAAAAAAAAAAAAAAAAAAAAAAAAAAGGAGAAAACCCAAAGCAATGGGGAGGAATTGCACTTTGGGAGGGAGGGGGGTACCGTGCCCTGCAGGGTGGGACAATAGTTTTTGCTTGCTCTGCCGGTAAAATGCGGCTCCTTCCCCGGCCGTCTGGGTCGGGGGAAAAGGAAAAAGAAAAAAAAAAAAAAAAAGAAAAAAAAGGCGGGGGGGGAGCAAAAGGCACCAACCAAAAAAAAAAAAACCCAAGCGTGCACGGAGATGAAAAATATACGTACCTCGCTGTGCCCGGGAGCACGTCTAGCGTGCCCGTGTGGCTGGGGAGAGGTTTGGGGGAGCCTGGTATGTCTTCATAGCGGGCAGGAAACGTGTACGAGTTTCTGAAAACAAAGGGGAAACTTAAAAGGCCGTTAGGGGTTTGGGGAGGTCTGGCCAACGCCAAGCGGAGCGGCTGCAGCCCGGGCGGGGGTTTGGCCGGGCAAGGGCAGCCCCCGGCCCGCGGTGGAGCCCCGCCGGTACCGGCACCCACAGCGGCACCTCCGGGCTCGGCAAACCGCTCGGGTTGGGGCGAGAAATGCCGTATTTTATTTTATTTCGGTTTGGGCTGTTGTCGTTTCTGGGTTTTCGGTGGGAGGTTGGTTTGCCTTTGGGTTTCCTTTTTTTGGAGGGCTTGGGTTTTGGGGTTGGGTTGGGGTTTTTTTTGTCTGCCACCGCCGGCTGCAACACAAAGACACTAGAGCAGCCAAACCAGGTGAAGAAGAGGGTTTCGTTCGGTAGAGGCAGCGGGGGGCAGGTGAAGGCAGGGCAGAACCCGGAGCTGCCCTCCTATTGCGGGTGCGTGGGGCAGAGCGCAACTTGGTTTATGGAGGGAGCCTCGATTTTGGGGGGGCTTGGCAGGAGCGCAGGAGGAGAGAGCAATTCCCAGGGAAATCACTCCGTCTTTTCAGGGGGTCTCCAGGCAGAATCAGGAGAGAATTTTATGATTAATAATAATACTCATAATAAAAATCAAAACCACCACTCCGCTCTGTTTTTCGCCGTTAGACGAAGAGTCACGCCGCCGGAGAAGAGCCGGCCAAGAGGGGCTGCCGCAGCCGGGCACGAAGTGCCGGCGGGAGGGCAGCGCCGTGCCCCAGCCCCCCCCCCCCTTGCCACCTCTTCGCCCACCGGCGGCGGTGGGGGAACACGCGGGGCCGGGGCGGCCCCGGGAACCGTCGGGGCAGCGCCGTCGGGGCGGCCGGGGCACACTGCCCGCTGC